ACACGAAGAAGAAGAATAAGAGAAACTCCAGTCCAGAGTCATTCTGCCAGCTGTTAAATTGGATAGCGGGGAAAGGATCATAAATCCTACAAGAATCCTTACTGCTACAGATCATGGGAGGAGACTTAACAAGTTCTTGTCTTTGACTGCAGACATGCAGAGAAAGTTGGGAAAGTGAAAAATACAGGGCAGACTGAATATTAAGGTTCCAGTTGAGTGAATATTAGACAATACTTGCTAAAACTCCAGTAAAACCCTCATAATGTCCTAGACATGGAAGCGTGAAAGCAAGGGATCAAAAACATTTAAGTGTGTATCCCACAGAAATCCACCAACCGCACTTACTTGGCATTTAAAAAAAAAAAAAAAAACTGAGAGATAGATGCTTTCTATCACAGCCACTAGGATTTTTTTCTCTGGTAAATAAGTTATCTGATTGGATATTGTTCCCCCGTTTGTTTTTAATTAGACAGAAAATAAACATAAAAATTCCAAAGTTTTGTTTTCTAATCTTAAATAGTGAAGTTCAAAATTATGGCACAGTATCTCATCTGCCTGCCCTTTCCATATTTATTTTTAACAGCAAGTCATGACGTCACCTTTCCACTTCAAATCAGAAGCCAGATGTCGAAGCTGCAGACCAGTTTGCTGTTACCTTCTGGGGGGAAAAATTCTGTTTGGTCCTTGCTGCTTTGACGTTTCTTCTTTTCTGTGGTTTTCCATGCGTTCTTTGCAATACAGTGACTGCTAGGGGAAGCCTTGTTGGAAAGCGCAGTCTCTGCCTAGCCAGGTGCGGGATGTTCGCGGACTGTGCCTGGCCGGAACCAGGGGGCCGAGGCCCAGCTTGGGGAGTGGGGTCAGGATCAAACAGGCGGCCGCTGGCCATCAGTAACCGCATGACGGAACTCTGGGTGCGTCAGTGACTTCACCGTGTTCAAACGAAGGGCAATATTTGCAGTTGATGAAGCATTTTTGGAAAGTATAAAGTATAAAATCCTCTAGGAATAAAATATTATTGACATCCGCCCACTAGATGAGAAGAGAAAAATGGACTTTAAAAATGCTCAGGTATGCATAGGCTTTCCTAACTCCTCTGTGACTCATGTTTTGCCTTCTTTCCATCCATTCTCTACCTCCTTCCCAGAACACTTGAAGGATAAGTTAGAAGAATACATGGCCCGATTTTCCAAAGTGAGGATTGTTCGCACCAAGAAAAGGGAAGGGCTCATCCGGACTCGACTCCTGGGAGCCTCCATGGCGAGAGGAGAAGTCTTGACGTTCCTGGATTCCCACTGCGAGGTTAACGTGAACTGGCTCCCTCCGCTCCTGAGTGAGTACGCGGCGCCACACCTGCGCTGGGACCTCACGGGGCTGCTCATTGCGCTCCATCCAGCGCGTCCAGAGTTTCTTTCTGCGTAGTTTGCCATTAACAAAGATAGATAACCCTCTACAGCGTTTAGAGCGGAAACCTTGAATTTTGCCTTCACCACTGCTAGGGGCAGACAGATAATCTAGAAAACGAATTTAAAGTTAGCATTTTAGATAACACCAACTGCAATCTCACTGAAGGTTTGAAAAGGTTTCATTTATCAATTATGTTCACTGGATAACATTAAAAGAAAAACTAAATCCCCAAATACTACTTATAACTACACACACACAATTTCAATAGTTACTATAAGATTGCTGAGAAATGAGAAAATTATTCAGCCCCTGATATTTACTAAGATTTATGATATAAGTTCCTTTCTGCTATTCTTCTTCCCACTTCTGCTACCAGCCTATAGCCCTAAAATACCATCTGCCACATTTACGTAAAACCCCCTCAAAAACTCTTAACCGCTATCCAGGTGATACATCTTGAATGTTCACACCATGGCTTAGAGGAAGAGAAAAAAAAGAAACTCTGCTGCGTCACGCTTGAACTGGCAGATACACTACAAACTGAAGGTAACCCAAGCTAGAAAACATAGGCATGGCTCACTTAAAGCTTCACTATTTCTGTTTCTTATCTTACAATGAAGTCATATATAAAGTCCAGTGCTGGATAAAAACAAGCTGTAAGCCTAAGGGGGGGGGGGAGGCAGTTCTTGGTGTGCGCATATTGTAATCCTTCCTATTTTTCCAGACTTCGCTAAATCAACTTTTACTGTAAATATGTCCCTGGCCTTGGAGCTAAAGCCAGTAACAATTGTTTTTACAATAGCTGCCTCAGAAAGAATGATTTGGTATTGACTACTGTGTAGGATTTCAGCTGGAACCAGCAAGGCTCCATTAGCAAAAGATGTGGGGATAAAATCAATGGAAACTGTATAAGATTTAAAAGAGCAAACAACTAGCAAGTAACACCCCCACCACATTACCCGATACATATACTCCTACACAGCTGACTGCCCAGCGGTCCTAATCAAGGGGAATGTTTCAAACATTCTGGAAGCTTTTAATTAAAAGTACCTTGTCCAAGGACACAGCAATTTAGAGTCTCATGAGCAAAGTGAGATTCCCTCAAACTGAATTTGACCTATAAGGCATTGCATACTTGAGAAAGTCAGCAAAGGGTCTAATTTATTTATGAACCAAACCAACCCCTAAATGCCAATTATCAAGCCCCTGATTGTTCGCTATGAATCTAACAAAAAAAAAAGAAGAAAGAAAAAGACATAATAGAGAAACCCACTTTTTCTCATTAAAGCATTTCCTTTCCTGCAGGCCTGATGGATAAGAAATGATGCAATCCTAGGATCACTATCTTTTCTTGACACATCATCCAAAATGAAAAAAAACAGGTGGAGTCACACAGTTTCTTGGTTCATTTTTCACCTTGGGATTATACCTGAATTTCAATTTCCGGTTAAGAGTTTGTTTGTTTGATCCCTGGAAATTGAAACATAGGCACAAGCCTTAGATGAAAAATTAGTCACGCCGCTTTCCCCCCAAGCCAGTACAGCTGGATGAGAGCTGAAAGGAAATTTGAAGGGAAAGTTGACAGTTAATTTAACAGACTCATTCTCTTTGGGTCACCTTGGGATTCCTTGTTGGTCAAGGAACTTGTAAATCAACCTGATTCTGACTTTGATTGAAGGAAGTCACTGAAACTGTGATACTAAATCCTCTGCAGAGGTGACAGGAGAAATATTTTGGACTCAGAAATGATGACCTCCTCTGTCAAAGACACTTATGAGGAAATACCAGTTACATCAAGATTAAAACCTATTTAAGTCTTGCCCGGATAAAAAGGGACACTCACAGAATCCTTGCTGGAGATTAACTTGAAATAGTCCTGGGCGTCTGTGTGTCTACTAATTAGCTGAAATCAGATAGCCCAGGCTCTCTGAGACCTACTGGGGCCATCCCGTCTAAACTTGCCACCTCATCCACACCCCAGCATTCCGTACACCTCTCTGTTGTTGCTGGGTGCTGTCGAGTCGATTCCAGCTCATTGTGACTCCATGTGATAGAGTAGAACTTCCCAATCAGGTTTTCTTGGCTGTCATCTTTATGGGACCAGATGGCCAGGTCTTTCTCCCAAGGAGCCCCTGGGTGGGTTCGAACTGCCAACCTTTTGGTTAGCAGCCAGGCACTTAACCAGCTGTGCCACTAGAGCTCTTTTGCATGCCCCTCACCCTGTTTTATTTTCTTTCCGTCACATTGATCACCTAACATACTATATAGGTCCCTGGGTGGCACAAACATTCGGATACGAACCAAAAGGTTAGCAGTTTGAACCTACCCAGAGGTACGTCAGAAGAAAGGCCTGGACATCTGCTTCCAAAAGCTCACAGCCTTGAAAAGTCTATGAAGGGCAGCTCTACTCTGCAACACAGGGAGGTCACTGTGAGTCAGAAGCAATTCGATGGTAACTGGTCTTCTAACACACTGTAGACTTCAGTTATGTGTTATGTCTGTTGATTTTCTTTGTTTCATTCCTAAAGACAAGGATCTTATGTAATTTTGGCAGCGGTTAAGAGCTAGGGTGTGCTATGGCTGCTCACCAAAACAATGTCGGCGGTTCAAATCCTTGGAATCAAACCTTTGGAAATCCTATGAGGCAGTTTTACTCTGTCCTACAGAGTCGCTATGAGTACAAATCGACTCGATTGCAACAGGTTTTTTTGTTTGTTTGTTTGTTT